ACTGATACAGGACAAAATGCCACAATGGCTTTCGATCTGTCCACCTTTATCAAACAAGAATCATCTAGATTTTGCTGAAATAGCTTGCCTATGTCTTTCTCATTTTCTAATAACTTTTGCTTAACTGAAAAGCCTTTGTCCCCATATTGTTCTCAGTTTTTAAGATTTTGTGTTGAACAAGCCTTATGAAATCCCAATTGTTAAGAGCATAAAATATTTTCTTTTTGCTTCTTAACAACATCTGTTTAACTTTCTCACTCATCTACGTGCACTCAAGTTATTTTGACTTTTGATTTCTAGTACGCTTTACTCTGGATTCAACATCTAGAAAAATGTCTTCTTAATACACAGCCTGGGCATTAGGTAAACTCCCATTTATTTGTTTCTGAAATCTGTCTCCAACACTGAGGCAGGTTAAGAAGTAAAGAACTCTGCTTCTCTTTGAGGGACTCTATGACTGTTGCTTTGACTGTTCACTTAGGACCAAGAGCATGACACTCCACACCTCGAGAAGCTAAAGGTCAGGATAACACGTTTCTGGAGAGCTCTAAAGCTTAAGAACTTATTCTACTTGTTCATTTACAACAGGGCACGGCAGTCCAGGTTTCCAAGCTAAGCTCAGTATTTAACTCCAAGAGACAAAGATAATTCATACTGAGGGAAGGTATGACTTGGCCTTTGACACATGGTATAAAGTAAAATACACAAGAGACAGACCAGGCAACATGGACACATAGCTTCTTGGTAACTAAGTTTCCCTATTTATAAGAAAATGAGCCCAGAATATTTCTTGTGGGAGTCAAAGAATTGGTGAGATAAAAATTAGTTATCCCATAGAAAATTTTAGAAGACCTCTTTCTAAATAAATAAAAACTTTTGAAATAAATTTCAAAAGAATCATGTTTTAATTCCTGACAATCTGAGAAATTCGACAAGAGATCCATGCTATCAATGAGACTCTAGCCTTATATACGCTAGTAGAAAAGTGGCCTTCTCTGAAACAACTCACGTGTCCATGGTTACTTCAATTTGGTTAAAAATATTACAGTAAAGAGAAAGTCTGGAAGCAGATTTGAGTGCTAATTCTTAACCTATTTCTAGAGTGAGTCACCAAAGACTAGTAAATCTTATTTTAAAAGGAATCAGTTGCTCGTTTCTCTTGGGGCATTCATGCCCACTGCTCATCTCCAGGCTGGGAAACACGGAGCAGACGCCAGGGCCCCTGAATGGAGAGCTGCATTAGGAGGAGTCACCGGATGAAAGCCTGAAAGTCCAGAGCTGGAGGTTCTTGCAGCCCAGAGCATCCAGAGAGGAGGATGAATGCCATTCCCGACACCTGGCAAAACTGCAGAGGCTCTCCCATGGCCAAATTCTGAACATGACTTGCCACCCCATACTGCTTCTGCTTCCTCCAGGAAATCCCAGGTGGTCCTTAACGTTAACCAAAAATTTTTCTGTCCAGCTGGTCTGTTGGCTTTTTTCCGGCTACACTGACTTCTGAGAGGAAACTTTCCACAAGTTAAGGGATGGCCAGTTTTTTCTGATTTTCACTTTTTTTTTTTTTTTTTAACTTTAAGCAGGGAAAGGGAGTGTGTCAATCCCTGACTTAGGGTACAAAATGAGATCAACCTTTATAACATCCCTTTACAGACAGGTAGCTGTTAAGGTCTCCTTGCCATCCACCAGGCCACCGTTTCCCTTCTTAGCAGCTTCCTCTCGTGGGATGGGGTCCCCGTTTACAGAAAGTGCTCTCCTTTTAAGGAACCCATGACAAGGCACTCACTGGGGCGACGAAAGGAGGCAAGACAGACGGACAGGAGGCGAGGAGGGATCGTAGCCCCGGCCCCGAGGAACTGCAGCCCCTCCAAGCGCGACCCCCGCGACCAGGAATGGAAAGGCCGGCACAACCCACACCCCGCGGACGGCCCGGCCTCCCCCGTCGGCCGGGGACGGGAGGAGCTGAAGAGAGGAGGTCGGGAGCCCGGCCACCCGGCCGGCCCATGAAGAGGAGGGCGAGCCGCTGGGCCTCTCCGCAGGCCGCGCCGGCAAATCTGCTGCCTCATCCCGGCACCCTCCCGCCCGGCCGCCCCACTCACGATGCTCTCGGCCATGGTGGCCGCTCCCGTATCCGGGCTTGAGCCCCGGGCCGCCGCTGCCTGCCGCCCCGCGGGCCTTGCAGCCCCGACCCCCGCCTCAGCCCCAGCCCCGGCCTCCGGCCGCCGCCGCCACCGCCGCTCCAGCTTCACCGCCCGGCCGCCACCGCCGCGACGTCCGGTGCCTCGCCCGACGCGCTCCCCCGGCCACGCGACCGCGCAACCGGGTTCCGGCCGCGCAACCAGGTTCCGGCCGCGCGATCAGGTTCCGGCCGCTCAACCAGGTTCCGGCCCCACCAACGGTCCGCGCCTGCGCAGGGCGGCCCCGCACCGGGCTCCCCGCGGAGGGCCGCCCCCGGCTGGCCACGCAGTGGACAGACGCTGCAGAGAAGCTGGGAGGGAAGCACTAACGCGCGTCTTGCCCAGGAGAGCGGTCGGTGGGCTCGAATTGGACATTCCCAGCGCCTCGCTGGTCCCATGGAAATGGAGAAATAGCTTCGGGAAGGTGACATCATACCTTCATGATATGTATTTTTTAAGAAGGCATTTTCCCTGAATCTAACATAAGAGAAACGAATGAATTTCGACCACATTTTAGATAAATGCTTCTTTGCCACGGAGATACAATATCCTAAAATTGCCCCCAGGGCCAGCTTCATGGGCACCCACGTGTGTGGCTCCGAATGGCCTCACACTTGATTCAATGCTCTGCCGTCACCGTCTTGCAACCTTTAATAGTTTTCAGCAAGGAGCTCCACATTTTTATTTTGCACTGGGCCCTGCACATTTGGTAGCTGACCTTGCCTATGATTATGAAAAAAAAGTTACGAAAACCTCTAAGAGGCTAAACTATGTTTTTTAATCCCATGATTCAATTTCAGATTGTGTTTGTCTCCTGTGTTGAAAACAGTTAGGAGGTTGTTACTCTCATTTCCTATCCCCGCAGGAAGTCTGAGATCAGGGGGACAGCCGGTTTGGTTTCTTCTGAGGCCTCTCTCCTTGGCTTGCAGACAGCTGCCTTCCTCCTGTGTCTTCCCTCTGCACAGGTGCATCCCTGGTGTCTCTCTGAGTCCCATTTTCCTTTTCTTATAAGGTCATTGGAGGATGGCCCATCCTAATGACCTGATTTTAAGTTAATTACCTCTTTAAAGGCCCTACCTCTAAGTCTCATTCTGAGGTGCTGGGGTTGGGACTTCAATATATAAATTTGGGGGGACACAGTTCGGCCCATAACAGTAGTGGTAACTATGATTTCATCCGAAGGCTACTCTATATCAGAACAAGGCTGAGATGGGGCCTGAGAGGTGATGACCATCTCCCAGAGAGCCTGGCTTTGGAGCCTGATTGCGGTAACTGATGAGGCTGGGTGTGTCCCCTTTGAGGAAGGGACGAGACACAGTTTGGCTGCACAAGGCCTGACCTCCAGCTCCCGTCCTTGCCCTGACCTTCCGCCTGCAGCACAGCAGCCTGAGTGGTCCTTTTAAAGCATGAGTCGGGTCGGAATGCACATTACTCAACACCTGTCATCTCCCCATCTCACTTGGAGCAAAATTCGAACAGCCATTCTTCTTCAAACTTTCCAGGCTTGCTCCCACCTAAGGTACTTTACAGGCCTGAAGCGCTCTTCCTGCACACGTCAGCCTAGTGTTGAAACAGAACAGGACCTATGGTCTATGCCCCCCATGTCTTCCGCCTGCCTTTTGTCTGTGGAAAAACTTTAGCCAAAGAATAAGTTTAATCAGAGAAATGAGAAAATACAGAAACAAAGGAAAATAGTCAAAGGGGACAAAACAATAATAGTTTATCAGTAAGCAAGGTCAAGGACCTTTAGTTCCACCTCAAGGGCTATAGATAGTATTCTGAGCCGTGCCCTGTGAGCTGTTTTTTTTTTTTTTTTTGCAGTACACGGTCTCTCACTGTTGTGGCCTCTCCCATTGCGGAGCACAGGCTCCAGACGCGCAGGCTTCAGTGGCCATGGCTCACGGGCCTAGCCGCTCCGTGGCACGTGGGATCTTCCCGGACTGGGGCACGAACCCGTGTCCCCTGCATTGGCAGGCGGACTCTCAACCACTGTGCCACCAGGAAAGCCCATGTGAGCTGTTTTATAGGTACTGAAACCCCCACCAGGTAGAAGTTAACTACATGATGACCAGACTGTAGCCATGACAGAAGCTGCCACAATTCTGAGAATTGGCCTCATGGAAATGGGAACAAACTGACCCTGGAACTGAAGATTAACTGTACTTAGAACAATCAAGACGATGCTGGTCAGACCACCAAGGACCAATTTCAAGATGACCATCAGAGCTGACTGTGCTGTCTCTGCATGTAGCCCCCTCCCTCCGTCTATAAAAGCTCTTGCCCACTGCTTGTCAGTGGAGGGGAGTCGGCCTTTGGACAGGAGTCTGCCCTTCCCCTTCCCCGGACCCCGCCATTGCCAGCCTCAGAAATAAAGCAAACTTTCCTTTCCACCAGCCTTGCCTCTTTATTGGCTTTTGAGCAGCGAGCAGCTGGACCCCACATTCAGTTACAGTGTGTGCCAAGTGCACTGCCCTCAGACTGAAGTTGCTGGCAGCCCTGGCTGAGCTCCCCTTCGGGGACTGTGCTCACTCCAGATCACGGTCCCTTCCCCAGGCAGCTCATGCCCAATAACAGTGGATGGCTATCAAGGCGCATACCCATGTCTCAATCTGGGATGACTCTGCAGGCCATCCGAGCTGCGGGGATCACCAAGGACTCTGTTGAGATTGCCTGACAGCTCGCCTTCTCCCTCCACCAGCACAATGCTGTTTCCTTCCCGGGTCTGGATCCTGAGACACTCCCCAGTGACCAGGGTTGGCCTCGCAGGGACCCTGACCTGAGAAAATCCACGAGGTTCGTTCCCTCTTTTCTTTTTTTTTCTTCTTGGCCACGCCATTCGGCGTGTGGGATCGTAGTTCCTTGACTGTGGATTGAACCCGCGCCGCTTGCACTGGAAGTGTGGAGTCTTAACCACTGGGCCACCAGGGAAGTCCCTCGTTCCCTCTTTTCCTTCGGCTTCTTCTCAGCCCTCTTCTTTTATTTTTGTAAAACGATATGAAATTCACAGAACATACAGTTAACCATTTTAAAGGGAAAAACTCAGTATCATGTAGTACATTCCAAGTGTTGTACAACCACCTCCTCTATCTAGTCCTAAAGTATTTTCGTCACTCCCGGAAGGAAGCCCTACACTCCTTCAGCATTAGCTGCCATTTCCGCCTCCCCCAGCCACTGGCAACCACTAATCTACCTTCTGTCTCTATGGCTTTACCTATTCTGAACATTTTATATAAGTGGAATCATACTGTATGTGGACTTTCTGTGTCTGGCTTCTTTCACTGAGCACCATGTTTTCAAGGTTCATCCATGTTGTAGCCTGTGTTAGAACTTCTTCCCATTTTATGGCTGAATAATCCACGGTATGGATGGAGCATGTTTTGTTCATCCATTCTTCATTGATGGACACCCGGGTTGTTTCCACCTTTTGGCTGCTGTGAACGTGTATATCCATGTATTCGTGTGAGTCCCTGTTTTCAATCCTTTTGGGTGTATACCTAGGAACCCAACATTTTCCTACAGTGAGGCCTCTCTGATCACCTGATATAAGACAACACCCTCCACCAGCCATTTCCTTTCCTTGCTTCCTAACACTCATGACCTTATAAAATAGCATATATTTACTGGTTTCTTTGCTTACTCTGTGACTTCCCCTGTACTCAAATGTAAGCACCTTATGACGGGGGATTGTCAGGTTTCCTCACTGTTGTAGGGCTCAGAACAGTCCCTGACAGAGAATAAACCCAGTGTCAGTCATCTGTGCTCACAATAATGCTGTGTTAACGAACTCTCCTCATTCAGTGGCTTAAAACTCAGCTGGCCCTCTGCCGGAGTGTAGGCTGGGCTCCGTGGGGTAGTTGTTCTGGGAGAAGCTAGTGGGGGACCCAAAGCAAGAACACAGACAAATGAAGCGAATAAAAATGAAAAGTGTTCCCTCGGCCGTACTACTCTGGAACTGAACACCAGGAGGAGATTTCAGGGGATGGCATAGGTCAGGGCACACAAGTGCCAGGCGTTTCAGGCCCAGCAAGCAGCCCATGTGGCTGGATTGTAAAATGGTGACTAAATGGAGGAAAAGAGGCTGGGCTTAAACATCAAACGGAAGAAGCTGAGAAAGGGAGTGGGGAGGATGGTGGAGACGGGATGCGGCACACACATACCCCGGAGGCCACCCTTTTTCCTGCCACGCACACGTGTTTGCAGAGGGGCCCCTGGCAGCCTCTGCCCCCACCACGGCCTCCGGCCACAGAAGCCAACAGCAGCGTCGACGCACGTCATAGCCTCATGCACTCCACAAGCAGGACCCAGGAGGTGTGGGAGTGCGTGCCCAAGGTCTTCCAGAGTTGTTGGCTGGTAGGGGTCTGCTCTGAGCCAGTCTTTCCACCACATCCAAGCCAGGGTGAAAGGGCCGACAATGCAGGGTCAGAGAGCCTGGAGCACATCTCTGCCTGCAGAGGTGGCAGCTGCATGGCTGGGGTCCCTCCAAGCACTAGGGCACAATAGTAACTGTGACAAAGTCCTACTCCTGAGAAGCTCAGAGGGTGGGGGATCCCAGCCACCTCAAAACCAGGAAGGATGTGATCTAGCCAGTAATTAAAAAATAAATAAATAAACAAAGGGGGACTTCCCTGGTGGTCCAGTGGTAAAGAATCCGCCTTACAATGCAGGGGACGCGGGTTCGATCCCTGGTCGGCGAACTAAGATCCCACATGCTGTGGGGCAACTAAGCCCACGCCACAGCTACTGGGCTCGTGCACCTCAGTTAGAGAGCCTGCGTGCCGCCAACTACAGAGCCCACACGCCCTGGAGCCTGCGGGCCACAGCTAAGACCCGATGCAGCCAAAAATAAATAAAATAAATAATAAATAAATTCTTAAAAAAAATAAAGGCACTTCAAATATACACTTATAGGGACTTCCCTGGTGGCGCAGTAGTTAAGAATCCGCCTGCCAATGCAGGGAACACAAGTTCGATCCCTGGTCCAGGAAGATCCCACATGCTGCAGATCAACTAAGCCTGTGCGCCACAACTACTGAGCCTGTGCTCTAGAACCCGTGAGCCACAACTGCTGAAGCCTGCACGCCTACAGCCCATACTCCACAACAAGAGAAGCCACTGAAACGACAAGCCCACGCACCACAATGAGCAGTAGCCCCTGCTCGCCGCAACTAGAGAAAGCCTGTGCGCAACAACGAAGACCCAATGCAGCCAAAAATAAAATTAAAATAAATAAAAATTAAAAATATATATACACATATATATATACATACACATATATGTATGTGTATATGTATGTATATGCATATATATACATAAAACTTCTTTCTTGCAGTGAATAAATCGGAATAAACTGGCATTTAGCTGTGGGCAGGTCTCCCGGGCTGTTACTGGGAGCCAGGGTCGGATCTTCGGGCTGAGCTGAGGGGCACCACTGGACCAGCCAGGCTGAGGCCCACACTGGGGCCCTGTGGTGATGCCCATGAGGTCTGCCCCCTGACAGCCCCACCCACGTCATGCCTGCACAGAGCGAGGCCAAGAATCTGGGCTCAAGAAGGATCCTTTGCATCTCAACAAGCAGAGGCTGTCTTAAGCCCTAAACTATGACTCCTCACATGATCCGATCGTGACTGCAAAGTCCCGGTGGGGCTCACAGCTCACAGAGCAGCCGGGGGCACAGGCAGCACCAGCCCTGGTGTCCCAGCCAGAGAGGCCAGCGGGGACCAGCACACCTTTCCTGGTGGAGGATGGAGGAGGGGGAAAGGAGCCCGCTGCTGTCCCAGGTAAGCAGTGCCTGGAGGCCTGCTGGGGTTGGAGATGTCCCCGGCTGGCTTCTCCCCACCCTGGCCCCCCAGAGCCATGTTGTGTGCTGGGGCTAGCCAGCAGGTGGGTGCTCAGGAGGGGCTGCTAAGATTGGGGTGGGCCTTTATTAATCAGGTGCCTTAACCTCCCCCAGCGCCCTGTTCAGACTCTGAAAGGTGACCCGCCCTTGCCCTTGTGTTTGACACGGCATGGGATGTGTCCACACCCCAAGGAAAGCGCACACCCAGGGGATGGTGCCCACCAGGGCCATCAGGCCACCCTCACATTTTCCCTGTCCCCCACCCACCTGCGACCTGCCCCGCCTTCTCACCTCCCTGTGCCCCCTCCTCGAGGCTGCCATCCGCTCAGCCTGGTATGGCCCCTGCACAGGAGATCCGGCAGGCCTCCCCGTGGATCTGGCAGGTCGGGGGGTGGGCTCTGGCTCAGGGTGCGGACGGGGCTGAAGGCCAATGCCGGCAGCCTGGCCTTTTGCTCTTACTGACTTGTTGAGTTCTGGTGGGTGCTGATCAATAACCCTCCTTTCCTGTGCTCTGATGCGGTCAGGCAGGTGGGGAGTGAAGGGCCAGCTTCTTCCTGGTAAACTGGGAGCCCTGCCCAGGCCTGGGGCCTTAGCTTCCTCATTCTTCCCCCACAACCAAACTCAAGGGCCTGCTGCCCCTCCCCCTGCAGAGAGGGGGCAGAAGCCCTCCCACACCTGCCTGCCAGTGGAGGGGCTGCAGAGGCAGGCATATCTGAAGTGGAGACTGTCCATCAAGGGGCCAAATGGAACTGGCTTTGCAGCTTCTCCCAACCTCATGATCAGTGAGCCAGTCCTCTGTTGGGGAGCCAAGAGGAGGGTGGGGGGAACCGAGAGAGGGGGTGGCCCCCCCAACCGTCAGCACCCTGTTAATTTTCTCTGTGGTAAGGCCAGGGCCCCCGAGCTTGACTGAGTGTCCTGCTGGAGGGTAAGGTGGGGTCCTCGGGAGGCCCTGCACCCCACAGAGCCCCGGTCTCCTGGCTTCTCCTCTCCCTGCCCCCAGAGCCCCTCACCCTCCCCTCTGCTGCTCGGCCAAGCAGAACAAGCCTTAAGGCCCCCATGTCCCTGGCCTTCTAGGGTCTTTGTGCACCCCTTCCGCCTTCACCTTCCAGCTTCCTCCCCCCTGCAGGCTCTGACCCTGCTCCCAGCTGAGCGTCACAGGGTCTGAGTGAAGAGGGTTGCCCTGGTGAGACCTCCCTCTTCTTCCTCCCTCTACAGGATGCTGGGGGTCAGGAACCACCCCTCGCCAGAAGCAGCCCCCTCACTTCAAGTCACCTAGGACCAGCACCCTGGGAGAACCAGGCCCGGAGGGCAGGCCTTGGGGGGGTCCTGGCCTGCTGCTTCCCCTGGGGAAGCAGCTTCCTCAAGTGCCTGATCTTCCTGTCCAACTTTGTCTTCTCTCTGCTCAGTCTGCTGGCCCTGGCCATCGGACTCTGGGGCCTGGCCGTCAAGGGGTCTCTGGGGAGTAGTTGGGGGGGCCCCCTGCCCGCAGACCCCATGCTGGGGCTGGTGCTGGGCGGGCTGGCGTTCAGTGCGGTGAGCCTGGCAGGCTGCCTGGGCGCCCTCTGCGAGAACGCCTTTCTGCTGCGCTGCTTCTCTGGGGGCATCCTTGCCTTTCTGGTGCTGGAGGCCGTGGCAGGGGCCCTGGTGGTGGCCTTGTGGGGCCAGTTACAGGATGACCTGGAGCACGTCCTACGCATGGCCATCACCCACTACCAAGACGACCCAGACCTGTGCTTCCTCATTGACCAAGTTCAGCTCGGGCTGCAGTGCTGCGGGGTGGCCTCCTACCAGGACTGGCAGCGGAACCTGTGAGTTCTAGGGCCTGAAAGGGCGGAGGGCAGCCGCATGGTGGCCGGCAGGGTCCCTGGGGCTGGAGAGGAGGCGGGCCACACACACGCTCACATGCACATACTCACCTATACACAAACTCACCTGTATAGGCTCCTCACCTGTACACATATGTGCGCACACGCTCATGTGGGCACACTTGCGCATGTACACACTCAGGCCCAGCCAGGGCCACGTGGTCATGCAGGGATGTTAATAGAGAAGCTCAGCCAGTAGAGCTAGAAAGTCACTTTTGGGGGTTGTTTTTTTTTCTTTTTCAGTGAGGACATCGTACATCTCAATGTCAATTGAAAATAACTTTTAGTTTAATTCAGGACATCATTTTGGACTATGACTCCACAGTTCTCCCTCCACTGTGTGTGTGTGTGTGTGTGTGTGTGTGTGTATGTCTGTGTGTTTGTGTGTGTGTGTGTGCATGGGTGTGTTTAGAGCCATATGGAGACTCTTGAAAACCAGCCATTTGTACCCAACAGTCCCTGCGACATGCTGGGCCCTTCTTCCTGGGCACCTTAGAAGCACCCATCTGGATTGTTCTCATTTGGTGGCCGAGTGTGACTTTGGGTCGGTGGCAGCCCTTTCTGGTGTTGTGATGCCACCCAGCCTGCCGACCTCCAAGCCCCTGCCTTACTGAAGCCCATTCTTCAAGGAGATGAGACTGTGCCTGTGAGGGAGGGCAAAGGGTGAGCCTGCTGGTCACAGGGCCCTGGATGCCAGTCAAAGGCCAAGGGCACCTGAGGGCTGCCTGAAGTGAGTGACAAGAGCAACACTCTCTCGAGGCCCTGCGAGCTCCTCCCAAGCCTCCCATCCCTTGTTGCTGCCCAGTGTGGCCCCTCATGCCCCCACCACGACCCGGTGACCACTACAGAAGCCTCTACCAGTCCTCAACCCACCTTCTCCCACTCCAGCTCTGCTGCTCAGACCAACTCAGCAGCATCTGTGGAGTGAGGCCGTCTTACTTCCAGCCCCCATCAAACCCTCGCCTCCCTTCAACTGTCTTACGCAGTGTGTGCCTTCTAACCAAGCTTGTACAGAGGCCTATGTAGTGCTGCGATGAATTATAGAGAGCTGGGTATCGTGTGTGTGTCTGTGTGTGCACAAGTGTGTGTGCGTGTGCATGTGTGTGTGTACATGCCTGCCAGTGTGCACGTGTGTGTGCATTCATGCCTGTGTGCTTGCATGCATACACATGTGCATGCCTATGTGTGTGTGGCCATGGAAGTTTGAAGGCGGGTAGGAGACATTCCACACAGTGCTGGGGTCCAAGACCAGGGGCCCTAGCCTCCAGACTGATGCTCCCATGTGCCCTTGCAGGTACTTTAACTGCAGCTCCCCTGGGGTCCAGGCCTGCAGCCTTCCTGCCTCCTGCTGTATCGACCCCTGGGAAGATGGAGCCTCAGTCAATGACCAGTGTGGCTTCGGGGCCCTGGGCCTGGATGAGGACGCGGCCCAGAGGGTGGTGCACCTGGAGGGCTGCAGCCCCCCACTCCTCCAGTGGCTGCGCAGCAACATCTGTGCTGCAGGTGGCTACGCCATCGTTGTCGTGGTGGTCCAGGGGGCAGAGCTCCTGCTGGCCATCCAGCTGGTGAGGACCCTGGCTGTCCACAAGAGGGCAGCAGAGAGTGAGGGCTTGTCCACAGGACCCCCAAACTCAGTGCCCTCCCCTCTGCCAAAATGGTCCGGGGCTGACTGGCAGGTGAGACGAAAGACCAGGGCACCCAGATGGGGTCTGGGGCTGCAGGCCTCCCCTCCCCTCCCAGGGAAGGTGTCAGAATAACCCGCCTTGGTGCTTGTGGACACGCACCTTGGGCCCCCAGGCCTCCTCCACCTGCTGGCCTCTGCCTCCCCAGGGTCCCCTTTCCCCCACACTGCCCATTTGCTTGCAAACGCTGCCATGGTCCGAGTGTAAGCTGACCCCAACGACTGCCTGGCCAGCGTCTGCCTCCCACAGAGGGTGCAGGCAAAGCCTGGCTGGCAGGGAGAGTGGGGGGCAAGCGAGACTGGATGAAATCCTGCCACTGAGCCCCAACTCAGACCCTCACCCCAACCCTCACTTCCGATCTCCACATCTGACCACTTTTGACTCTCACCACTGACCCCCCACTTCCAACACCTCCAAGCCCAGTCTATGAGTCCCCACGTCCTCACCATAGCCTGGCTCCTGCTCTCCTCTGGGGCCACCTCCCCCTTTCCTGTCCATTGTGGTGGTTGAGGGTGAGGCCCAGGCCTCTCCCTCCAGAGTGCTTTTTTTTGGGGGGGGGCGGTAAGTTTTATTGAGATGTATCACTCATACAGTAAATTGCACCAACCTTAAGTGGGCAGCCTGAGGGTTCTTACTTATCCACACACCTGTGGACCCACTACCAGGTCTAGATCCAGCCCGAGCAGGGTCCTTTATCTCCTCCTCGAGGTCACCCCTGTTGGAACTTTGTCGCCTTTGGTTAGCGTGGCTTTTTCTGGCCTTCACATAAATACGATCACAGGGGCCCCCTTCCTGAGAGTCACTCTCTGGTCACTGCTGTGTGAACGGACCCCCCGACGTCCGTGTGGATAGGCACTTGGGCAGCTTCCCGAAGATGACTGCCACTGGGGGCAGTTTCCCGCAGGTTTGTGTGTGGCAGCGTGCCCTGCTTCTCCTGGGTGTGGTGTCAGGAGCGGAATTGCAGGGTTACTGGTAGGCATCTGTCCAGCTTTAGTGGACAGTAAGGATGGGCTGGCTGGGCCCAATCTCCCTGCACCTGTTTCCTCACCTGTGGGGAGCAGATAGGTGAGCTCTGGCCCCCGGAGTACGTGGGGCTGCCTGCCTTGCCCCAATCCAGCCATCAAGAGCCTGGCTCAGTGCCCAATGTGCTTCCTTCCCTCAGCCTGGCCAGGCCCCTGCTATCTCTGCCACCAGTGCCCACATCCGTCCACTCTTGCTGAAGAGACTCCACCCTTGGGCCCTGCCCCCACTGACAGCACATCCCAGACAAGTGGTGGGGGACACGCTAATTTTATTTGAAACAGGACATGGGCCATGTTGGAAAGGACAAGCATCCTGCTGGTGTGACAGGTCCAGAGGGGTCTTGCTCTTTCACTGACGCCCGCAGGACTCCTGCCACCCACTCCGCCAGTGCAAGGGCCTCAGCTGGGAAGGGCTAGTGGGGGAAGCTTGTCCTCACCCCCAGACAGGCAGGACAGGGGACACTCCTGGGAGGCCTGCCCTAGCTTTCCAGCCATGGGAGGAGAGGGTTTGTGGACCAGTGTCTCTAGAAGTTAAGCCAGGCCTGGCCGGCCGGAGAGGATATCCTGCAGGGAGTTGGTGGGCTCCTGGCAACTAGCTTCCATGGGCCTGAGGTCGCCGCCTTGCGGGGATCTCCAGACACAATCTCTGGACACTCTGGAACCCTCCGGTGGGGGGGCGGCCCTGCTCACAGGAATCCTGAGCAGGGGTCAGAAAGGGCAGCGGCATGGAGGGGTCAAGGGCCGGGGTCCAGTGCTAGATGATGCCGTACTGGGCCAGCTCATGCAGCTCCAGGTGGTTGAAGGCCTCCCATGGGCAGATGACAGTGATGTCTGCAGGACAAGGGGGCCAGTGGCTCCAGGAGGGTCCCATGGCCCCAGGAGCCACCATCCCCTCCGGGCCCTGTTGTCCACACCCCAATGGTGAGAGTACAAGTCCAGGGTGTACAGCCCTCTTTTCAGGACATACCACCTTTGGGGTGTGTCGAATGGGCGCCCTGCCCAGGAAGAGAGTGGGTGCAGCAGGCCCAGGGAGGGGGCCAGAGGAAGGTGGGCCTTGCTGCTGGGGGGAGGGGACAGCAAGAGCTTTGGTCTTTTCCAGCCCCTCCAAGCACTCGGTGGACCCGCTGAGTAGGAACAACCCCACTCGGGTGGTGTCTGAAGCTTGAAGTTGGGAAAAAAAAATGAAGGACAGCTGGGGGTGGTGCCCTAAGTGAGCCTCTGCCTGAGGAAGCAGGGGCAGGGGTGATGGGGCCCCAGGCACACTGGGGGGTGGGCAAGTGGGGGGGACCTGGGTGGACGCTAGTGGCCGTCATACCTGTTCCCAGGCCTTCCATTCCGGGGATGTCGTCACCAAACCTACAAGAACAGAGCGGTCAGGGCCAGGAAGAGCGGAGAGGGGGTGTGCATACACTTGAGTGCAGGTTCCTGGGAACGCGGTGTGTCTGAGTGTGTCCTGGGTGTGTACACGTGGGGCTCTTTGGGTGCAGGGAGACATATCAGTTGGTGGGGCTGTGGCTGAGTGTCTGGGTGGCCGCGGGTGGGTGTGCTTTCCAGACAAGAACAGCTAGAGAGGGTGACAGGAGCCCCTGCCCCCCGAGTCCCCTCCACCCCCCGCCCCCCATGCCAGGGAATGGGGGACGCTGAGACAGGCCGGCTCAGGCCCTCAAGACCCGCACCACCTGCTTGAGAGGATGGGACCACCTTCCACCAGGAAAGGGGGGCTGAGGCCCCACCCAGCCCCCCAACCTGAAGGCCCCTGCCACGGCCTCTAGCACCAGAAAGGCCCCATCTCCCTCCTGTGCAGCAGGTGGGCCCTCCACCCCCCTCAGGGCCAGCCCTCCCACAGCTCTGCTCACCCTTGGACGCCTTTCTTGGGGGGCTTGCTCTTGAACTGCCTGGTTTGCCGCTGCTTAAATTTGGGGGGCCCTTTCCTGGGAGTGACGGGCCCCCCAATCACCCTGGTGGCCGGCCGGATCTCGGCCTTCGGCGGCTCCAGGTTCATGGCCAGGCTGGCAGAGACCCCGCGGTGACCTTCAGCTTCTGGACTCCCTCACGCTGTGGGCCCTCCTGCTTCCGACCCACCTCTCAGGTCTCAACCCACCAGAGCAGAGGAAACCCTGAAACATGAGACCCACCGGTCCCCAGTATGACTCAAACAGCAGCCCCCTGTCCCAGGGAGCCCCAGGCAGGGGCTGAGAGTGCTGGGTGGCCCCCCGGTGTGCCCCTCCTCACTGCCTCCCCCTTCTCCTGCATTCCCCATCCCAATCCCTGGGGTGGGACACTTGGCCTCATTCATGGTGGCATGTTAGGCACCTAGCGGCGCCAATAACGGTAACCTGAGAAATGGGAGGGCAGGGTGCCCGGGCAGGGGAGGGGCCTGTGTCACAATGAAACGCCCAGGCGAGCTGTGTAGCCCTGGCCCCAGCAGCGTCTTCCCTCTGCTGGTAAATACCCTACCTCCCCCGTCCCACCCCCCACCCCGCCCCAGCCACTCACTGGGCACCAGCATCACCTGCTGGTGTCCTTGAACCCACTGCACAGGGTGACCTCCCCTCCTCCTCTCCCCCGGAGTCCCCCCCTCGAGGCCCTAAGCCCTGGTGACCTAGGCCAGGGGCAGCTCACCTTCCTCTAAGCCTATTAGCACCAGAGGGAGACCCTAATTCCTCAGGGTCCACTATAAGCCCAGAAAGTTCTGGGGCTAAGTACATGATGCAGAGAGGAGCCGCTGCCCTGGCACTGAGCCGGTGCTCAGGCACCACTTCTCGGGTCCTGTTTCTTGCCCCCCTCCCCACTTGTGGGCTGCAATGCCTGACTCCAGCCTGGGGCCACCGCTAGCTGCCTGTTAGAGTATTAGGGGCTGAGATCAACCGGGAGGCAAGAACAGGTGGTTCTACCAGCGAGGAAGGCCTGGTTGTAGGTGCCGGGGCACCTGGGATTCGGTGGACCCCACTGTGGACCTTCCTTCCCTAAGGTTCGGTCTCTGTGCCGGGACCAGCAGCAGCCTGAGAGGAACCAGGGGACAGGAGCTGGATCTACACGGGGTCCAAGTTGGACAGCAGCAGGTCTGGTGGCCCCGGCTGCTCAAACCCCACAACACCCACTCCTCACAGCCTAGGTAGTGTAGGCCCAGCTGGACCCCTTCTCTAGTCCCAGGCCACAGGCCTGGCGTGGGCAGCTCTGAGCCCTGATAGAGAGCCAACTATCAGATGCTGTTCCCATGGAAACCGCTGCCCAAGCTGCCCCGGCCGTAGCCTGGCCTGTGGCTGGTGCCCACTCAGGTTGGCTGACTGTGTGTGGCCTGAGGCTCCGAGACCATTGCTAGCCTGGGGGACAGCCTGCACCACTATTTGGCACGAGGAACAGAGGAGGTGATGGGCTGGGTGTCCTCTCTGAACAGGGCAGTAGGTGGCCTCCCCCAGACCCAGACCTCAGGATGGTGGTGAAAATCCCGCCCACTCCTCACCCTCTGGGCAGATACCCACTAACGCCCTTGGGTAAGTGGCCACCAGGAAAAGCAACCTGGGAAGGTCATTACTCACCAAGTACCGGGGCAGGTCTCAGGGGACCATGGGTGTGAGTGGCAGGCCTCCCTTAGGCAGGGTGCTGGCTGGGCATTTATCCTGCAGCTGGGTAATCTGATTAGGACTGTGCCTTGACACCACACTAATGAGATTGTGGGGTGGGTAGCAGCACCGAGGACTCCCTGAGATGGGGGAAGCGGCTCAGGTGCGGTCAAGGGCCTGAAGGAAGGACGAGCAGGGGGCAGGGTCAGGGCAGGAACGGGACGTGTGACCATGAACAGCCAGACTCTCCTGAAGCTGCTCTTTTTTTTTTTTTTCGGTACGTGGGCCTCTCACCGCTGTGGCCTCTCCCGTTGTGGAGCACAGGCTCCGGACACGCATGCTCAGCGGCCATGGCTCATGGGCCTAGCTGCTCCGCGGCATGTGGGATCTTCCTGGTCCGGGGCATGAACCCGTGTCCCCTGCATCGGCAGGCAGACTCTCAACCACTGCGCCACCAGGGAAGCCCGAAGCTGCTCATTTTTGAAGCAAGGATGAGATGGCACTGGCTGCTGTCTTAGGCCTCCCCACCCTTACTATCCTGACTGCTGAGAAACCTGCCTTTGTGGCCCCCAAAACCCTGCATAGCCTGTCCCGATCCACTTCTTTGGCCTCACCTCTCATCCCTTCCTCTTGCTCTCTGTGCTCCAAGGAGCCTCTTCCACCCCAGGGCCTTTGCACCTACTGCTCATGCCATGTGGTGCATTTTCTATTGTACATCTCTCCCCTTCCCCTAGTTCCCTCCTCCTGGGACTTCAAAGATCTGCCCTGGTATCATACACACATAGAAAATCTTTCACAAATATGTGTTTTTGAGAAAAATACAGTAAACCTCTTCCTACATCTCTGAGGTAATCTACCTCCATGTTGTAGACCCCTTCGGGGGCCCCAAGCCCACTAGGCTCTGCTGTGCTTTTGTCTCTAGGGAAACCTTTCTCTTCCTGGGCCATTTTCAAATCTGTAGGACAGGGTTGGAGTAGATGCTCTCTGACATAAAGTGTAACAAACATGTATTGCTATAATCATGTTTCTCTGAACCAACCAAAACTGCTTCTGGATGACATCACTAGCTGGCCAAGACAGCCCGCACTACCGGGTGTATCCCCAGGCATTAGCATGGCAGCACGTTTTGTGGCTGTGTGGTTTCATTCTCTTGTCCACAGATCTGTCTCTGTGGGAAACTCTGGCTTTACATTGAAGGCCCCTACCTGGGAAGGCCTGCTTATCAGCTCAAATTCTTTGTGAAGCCTTATAACAACCCAAGCTTTTCCCTTAAATGAGAGAAGATAAAACAGGCATAAATTCATTTAACCCTGTCTGTCCAGGCCACTGGTATCAGAGCTTGAAAGCCTGCAGCTGGATGAATGGGGCACATTCCAGGCCATCTGCGGGCATTTGTGCCTGCCAGAGCTTTGCTAACAGCAACCTCTCAGGACTGGATGGTCCTCCCTCTGCTGCACCACTGAGAGTAACCAGAGCTGACCTCTGGGACTTCTGGGATGCTGGGACATAGAAGGGGGCCCCTGGGGTCACTGTCACTTGAATAGTCAAGGAAACAGGTTTAGCCAACCTCACAGGTTGGTGAAGGCTGTAGGTGCCCAGTGGACATACAATGACATCTGCACGTGCTTTCCTTGAGGTAATACACGCCTCTGGATGACAACACAAAAGCCTCCTGTCTAACCACCACACAGAGCTTATTTATTCTCAGGCAAAGTCAATAAACAATCCCGTCGACACCAGCTGCACAAAGGGGCCGTGGATAAAGGAGGCTGTGCTGCATCCTGAGGAGGAGTCTGTCGGGGTGAGGCTGTCTGGCCAGGCGGCTCAGCTTCCACTCCTCATACGGAGCTGGATCTCCATCCGGAGGAAGGCCTTGAGGTTCTCATCAGCCACGTGCTCCTCCAGGGCGGCCAGGGCCCGCTCCCCGCCGTCCTGGTAGTGCTGCAGCAGTGCGTCTGCATATTCCACCCACACGCAGTTGGGGCAGCCGCTCATGCAGCAGTTGGTGGGGGGCTGGAGCTCAGGGGGTGGCGGGTACAGGGGTTCTGAGGGGCCCCCACCAGGCAGGGAGGACTCGGGCTGCCCAGTGCCCGCTGCACCTGCTTGGGAGCCCCCCTCCACATGGTCCTTCCTGAACTCTCTGTGGCCTTCATGGACTCGGATCCTGTGAAGAATGCTGCCACCGCCAGGAAGCCTGTGGCCCCAGTCCCAGCTGGATAGTGGCCCCTAAGGATTCAGATAAGCACATGAGTCTCCAGAAAGCTGGTAAGGCTCTGCCTGCCTCCAGCTCTGGGGAAATTTCGGACTCCTGTCACTGGCAGGGGGCTCCACGTCTTTCTCAGTTTCCTCACTTCCTCCGTAACCTTAGACAAGTTACTTCACCTATAGACTCAGTTTCCCATTTGTAAAATGGATGTAACGCTTGGTACGAGGATGAGCCACAGGTTCATGAGAAATGCTGGGTTCGAGGCCTCGCACTATGCGTGCCCTCCAGCAGATGGTGGGGGTTGAGACTGCACCTCCAGCTAAGATGCCTCTGCCCGGTGGACAGGAGTATGGCGAGGGCAGAAGGCTGTGAGCTCCAGCCCACACAGCCACCTCTCCCTCTCCAACCAGTACTGCCACGTCCCTCCCCCGTGAGCATTCTGACTAATCGCATCACCCCTTCATCCCTGTTTCTCTCTGTCACATGAGAAGCCCAAGTCATTCCCAAAGGCCAGTGGGCAGCCCTCTCCCCACCTCCAGCCCCCACCCCGGCCCCCGGGTCCCCTTCCCTGCTCTGTCTCCAGGGCACTGAACACAGGCGCAAACTTTACTTATTTCTCTAACTCCTCTTGCGAGGGGCGCCAACTCCTTGTACACTGAGGTTTCCCCAAAGGCTTCGCACAAAGCAGGTGTTCAACAGGTACTGGACGAGGGAACGAGCTCAGAACCCGCCGGCGCTACCCTGGGCTCTGCCCGGCTGCCGGGAGAGCGGGGCTTCTCGGCCCCGGCGGGGCCCGGCCTCCCGAATGCACCCCGTCCCCCTCCTCGCCGGTACTTGCCAGGCCGCGGGCAGCGACTGACACGGCCAAGCCTCCCCGAGCCACACTCCACAGCAGCATCGCCCACTGCCTGGCCCACGGCGCAGGCGCCCCCCAGTCGGCCCCGCCCGAGCTGTGAATGGCGGCCGCTCTGGCCAATCCCGGCCCGTCAGGGAGCTGCACAGCCCCAGTGAGCGCAGGAAGCGGAAATGGTGGGCATGGGGCCGGACCGTGCGGGAGTGCGGAAGTGGTTTCTCCTTTGAGCGCAGGGCGTGTAGATGGCGGGAACCCGGCGCCGAGCTGCGGCGCCGGCGAGGACGGCGGGGACGGCTGGGCTAGGGAGCCCAGGGCGACCGCAGGGCCGGAGGCAGCAGGAGCCGGCGAAGCAGCGCTCGGCGCCACGGCCGGGGCCGCGCAGGTGGGTGCCGGTCTCA